TCAGCTACCCCTATGATATGAATTACTAACTTTTAATTTTAGCTGCTGTGAGGAGTTAATCCTTTAGCTGTCTACAGCAAAATCAGGGTTTTCTCATTCCACATGATGAGTAGAACTGCATTTGTGTATTAGGAAAAACTGGATTTTCCTGTGAGACACAAACACTCTTATTCTCTGGGCATTCCTCACATAGGAAGCGTGAGAAAACCACTGAAAATACAGGATATAAGCAATGGTTTGAGCTCAGGGGAACAGAAAGGGAAGGAAATCTGCCCTTCAGTTACTATCATAATCCTGCTAATTCTTCTTAGAGGCATCCAAGCAGCAAGACACAGATGAAACACAGCAATAATTATTCCAGCTTAAGTTTGTCTGCCCCGAGACTTGGAGCAAACTTCTTAAACGTTTAATTTGTCATGGACACACAGGGATCCCTTTATGCTGTTCCACTGCATCCGTGTTAACTGTGAAACTGGACACACAGAGGAGACAAAAAGAGACAAAAAGACCCAAATGGGATCATCAGGAGGCTTGGAACCGTGTTTATGCCGTTAGCTTCACAAATCCTCCCAGTTTGGTGCTGTTCCCTGGGAATCCCTTGGAAAGCAGGAGCTTTGGGCTGGCCAGCAAATGAGCCTGAGCAGGATAATGGTGTGCTCAGATGGGAGGCCAGGCTGCCTGCTGGCACATCCAAACAGCTCCTAAATCACCTTATCCCTGAGACCTTCAGGGCCAAATGCTGCTCTCTGTGTCCTTGAAGCTCATCAGGACTCCAAGTGACACGGGCAGAGCTGGGGGATCACCTTGTTCTTTGCACTAAATGATTTTAGTGTCTGTTTCTTACCTTTGTCCCTTGATTTATTTAATGCTCTGGGCAAGCTGGTGTGGGTGCTTTCTATACCAATGAAGTGTTTGATGGTTTATGAGGATTCTGAGGTAGAACTCAAGGAGTTACCATAAAGCAGAAAATGTTACAGGTAGAAAAAGTTGGACTCACCTCCTCTGTGCACCCACTTTTTTTTTTTTTCCCTAAAGAATTTTGGATTACTAAGAAAAAAAAATTAATCAGAGGGGGAATAGAAATGTTAAACCATCCAATGCACAGCTGTTTTCTTACCTTCTTGCTGACTTTAGGCTGGGTTTGCTTTTTCATTCGTGTGAGATGTCCCTCTGAGTTGCTCCTGCTTCTTGTCAGTGGGTTTCCTCCCCCTGCCTCGGGATCTCCCTGGGAACCACTCGGGAGCCGTGGGATTGCAGGGGGGAGGAGGCTGAGCAGCCACCTGTCAGCAAAGGGAGCTCCTGCCAAAGCAGGGATTCCTGGGAGATGCTGCTCCACCGGCTGGGGAAATCCGGGGGTGGCACAAGGAGCTGGTGGTGAGCTGGGAACAAAACATTGGGAAGGCCTTAAAAAATGAGAGATAAATTTATATAATCTATAATATATAAATCTATATATAAATATCAATATTCTATCTAGATATATAACCTATATATATCTATATATATCTATACATCTATATATATCTATATTTATCTATACATCTATATATATCTATACATCTATATATATCTATAATCTGTATATTTATATCTATCTATATCTATAGATATAAAATCTATAGATATCTATATTATATCTAGATTATCTATATATAATCCATATTATTTATATAACCTATAAAATATTTATATAATATATCTTACTATATAAATTTATTTTTCTATAAATTTATTTTTCTATAAATTTGAGCTGTGAACAAAAGATTGGGAAGGCCTTAAAAAGTGAGATATATATTTATATAATCTATAATATATATAATCTATATATTTATCTATATATCTATATATAGATATCTATATTATATCTAGATATATCTATATATCTATACCTATATCTCTATATGTATCTATATCTATAATCTATATATCTCTCTATATCTCTCTATATATCTACATATGTAGATATATAATCTATATATATCTATATTATATCTAGATTATCTCTATATAATCTATATTATTTATATAATCTATAATATATTTATATAATATATTACTATATAAATTTATTTTTTGTAAATAAATATTCCTCACAATTTTATAAATATATATTTTATAAATTTTATAAATTTTTAATATATTTTATAAATGTTTTGTTATGTATGATTATGTATATAGAACATTATTATTTTATTTTTATATATTATTATATGTATTTATATTTTATATATTATATTTGCACACTATATTTTATACATAGTATATTTTATAAATATTTTATTTATATTTTATATTTATATTATTATATATTTATATTTTATATCTATATTTTATATTTATATTTTATATTTTGTATTTATATTTTATATTTTATATTTATATTTTATATTTATATTTTATATATTTATATTACTATACATTTATATTACTATATATTTATATTATTATATATTCATATTACTATATATTTATATTATTATATATTATGTTTTATATATTATATTTACATGGATTTTATACATATTATAGTTTATACATATTATATTTATATTTATATATTTATATCATTATATAATTATATTTTTATATTACATTTTATATATTATATTTATATTTTATATATTTATATTATTTTATATATTTATATTTTATTACATATATTTTTTATATACAGCAGGTAGCTCAACAAGCAACCTGCACATGGAACATACTGGGAGCATGAAGATGGAAAAATGAGTATCTCACAATGACTGACTTTGCTTGCACCCAAGTGTATGGAAACTGCTTAAAATAAATGGAAAAAACTACAGATGGGGAGATTTTCAGCCTGATGCAAAGTTACCTAAAGCCAAGGAAAGCTGCTTTTAAATGGCTTTGGGTCAGGCCCACTGAGCACCAAAATAAATCCTCCATAACTGAGGATTTTCCTGCTCTTTCCCACAAGTAGGGAGCCAGAATTGGCACTGGACTGACTCTGGATATCCACCTGGAAGGCCAGGTTTGCTTTATGCACAAATTCTCTTTCCTATCTGTATTTTAAAACTTTTCCTGCTAGAAACTTCCAGCTGTGGGAGGTTCTGTGCCTGGAAATGTCCTTTGCCATTACCATATTTAAAAATCAATAGCTACAACGAATCTTAAGTTAATAATAACCTATAGTGGCAGGCTTGTAGCAAAATAACTTTATACTTCAGGCTTTAAAGCATTTTATTGTCCATTTCTATATTTTTTTGGGCATCACAGTGTTATAATAATACTGTCCCAACACTTATATCCTTACAAAAACTACAGATATCATAGTTCTGGTACCTTTTATCCTCATGAATGTGTTTCTTGCAGTCCTGAAGCGGGATTTGATCCTTCAGTTCTTGAAAACTGGCATTAAAAGCAGCTGAAATGTTTGAAATGTTCCTCTGTTTTGGATTTGCTTGGCCACTGGTACCTGCAAAACGCTGCCCAGGGATGTGGTGGTGTGAATGTGGAATTCCAGGTGGAGATTCCTGCTGAGATTTCTTGTTCTCCTTGCTGGTGTCTGCTGGGTTCCAGTGCTGGGATGTGGGATGAACATGACAGGTAGATGTGGGAAAGCCTTGGTCAACAAAATGTCTCGAATTCGGGGAATTCTTGAAGCCAGTGTTGGATTTTGCTGCTGGATCAGCATCAGGATTGGGATGCAGAGATTCCTGCAGGGCAGTGCCCTTGTCCTGCTCCTCTGCACTGGGAGCAGCCTGAAATCCTGGTGTTTGCTGGGGATTGTGGTGCCAAGGCTTTGGTTCTGCTGCTCTTCCTGGTGGTTGTTGGCTTCCATTCCTTGGAAAATCTTTGCCATTGAGACTCCTGGTGGGTTTTGTTTTCTCTCTCTGGGAGAACTTATCGTGCTGATCCTGAAACAAGTCACCAAAAGTGGGGTGAGCTTCAGTTTAGGTGTTCAACAGGAGCCCTTAAACGCACAGGACTACCTGTTCCCAACCCTGGGGACTGTCAACCTGGAGAAAATCATTCAAAAATCAAAGCAACTTTTGGATTTTGTTCCCTAATGAAAGTAAACTGTCCAATATTTCAGGGAAAGATGGCTTTGTACAAAGTAAACTGTCCCAAATTTCAGGGACAGGTGGCTTTGTACAAAGCAAACTGTCCCAAATTTCAGGGAAAGGTGGCTTTGTAGAAAGTAAACTGGCCGATATTTCAGGGAAAGGTGGCTTTGTAGAAAGTAAACTGGCCGATATTTCAGGGAAAGGTGGCTTTGTACAAAGCAAACTGGCCCAAATTTCAGGGAAAGGTGGCTTTGTACAAAGCAAACTGGCCCAAATTTCAGGGAAAGATGGCTTTGTAGAAAGCAAACTGTCCCAAATTTCAGGGAAAGGTGGCTTTGTACAAAGCAAACTGTCCCAAATTTCAGGGAAAGGTGGCTTTGTACACACTGATCCACAGCAGGAACAGACTGATGTCAATCATATGAATGACTTTATTTCTAAACCTCCTCCCTGCCTGTACCCCACAAAACATAACCCAGATGCTAAGAAACAATTTCAGAGTTTAACCACACCAGGGCTGCTGTTGTGAGCTGAACTGCCCTGCTCTAAATCTGGAGTTTATTTAAGATTTATCCCTTTCCAATTACAGCGTCAGGTGTTGCCCACTTGGAGGAAAGACACGGGAACACACAAATCCATTCTCAGTCCATTTAATCTTTGTCAGGGCTAAAATCCTCCATTTCATCCTCCTGTCTCTCCAGGGTTCTTTTGTCAGCAACACTTGCAATCAGCACATGGCATATGCACTCAGAATAACTGCTTAATGGTAGGAATTAAAGCCACATATAGACCAGGGGGTTTTGGTGAAAGCTTTAGCACTGGGCAATCCTGCCTCCTGCAGCCAACGGGGTGATTTGTTAGCTCAACCTTTACTCTTAACAATCCACATTGTGCCACTGCTGCCAAACTGGGAGCAGGCCAAAATTTTCCCATTTAAACAGCCCCTACTTCACCCTGAAATTCCAGATATATAAAGCAAATCTGTCCAGATGAACAGCAGCTTAAAAATCCTGTTTGTGCTTTGCAGAGGTGCAGCCTCCAGTGTGAGCAGCTGGGAATTTAAGCAGTGCCTGGATTACCTTAAATACTTGGGAATAACCAGGTTTGCCAGAAATAATTGCAGTTGGCTGGTTCTGAAGCTCCTGTTTTGTCATCAGTGATCATAACCTGGTCTCTTCAGTGCTCCAAAGACTCACAGTGCATTGGTTTAAAGCCAGCAGAAAACAGATTTATGTGTACAGAGGAGGTGAGTCCAACTACTTCTATTTGTAGCATTTTCTGGTTTATGGTGACTTTTGATTTTCACAGGGATTTTAGGGGACAAATAAAGCAGCAATAACTGAGTTCTAGCTCAGAATCCTCATAAACCATCAAACATGACCATGTACCATTGTGATTTTGCATTATTATCAACTAAATAATGTCATAAATCAACTAAATAATGCCATAAATAGGCAAGATTCTTTAAGCTCAGAATTCCTTGGCATTTGGCATCCCTTTTCCTTTAAAAATATTCACTCCGTAAAGCACATGCACTAAATTTTGGTGATTATCTGTTGATAAATATTCAAGGATTTATTGTCAGTCATCAGTACTTTAAAAGTAACAAGATGACAGCTTTAAATATCCAAACTTCAATGATTTTACACATATATTTCAGTTATTAAATTCTATCTAAAAGGAACCTTGAGCTGCTGTCCTTTCAGGTTGTCTTCAGGCTTCTTCTTCACAGTCTGGGGTGGTGGTTCTTCCTCATCAACTGTTTTAGGATCTGTAACCTGAAAATTGAGAATGTTTGTGGCAACAGCCCAAAGAAATGAAAGGCTTTAAAAGTCTGGGGGAAAGAATGAGCAATAATTAGCCCCCTATTAAAACTAAAATGCTGAAGTTAGGCATTATATAATAGGCAAGAAGAAAATGAACGGTTAAAAGAGAAAAGGAAGCAAAAACCCAGTTAACAGTGGTGTGGTACTAGGGAGTGTTCCCTCTACTTTTAAGGGGAAGAGAGGAAAAGAAAATTGAGGGAAGTTTGCAGCACAGAAACCTCCTTGTGAGTCTCCAATGTCTGGGCTGCTCCATTTCTAGGAGTGGATGCACCTAATGACAGAAAAACAACCAGAAACCATCCCTGGCCAAGCAATCAGACACTGATGGATGACACACACCCCCCTCTGCCAGGGCCTGAGCAAGTCTTGCAGAAAGAGATGGCAAAACACAGTAATACATTGGGAGAAAAGGGCAGGGGGAGCTGCAGGAATAAAGCATCCAACACATGTAACCTGGCAAAATAAGCTCATGGGTAAGAACAGCTTCACGTGGCCACAGCTGGGGGAGCAGGATGGGAGCTGCAAATGTGGGAGCTGCAAATCTGATTTGAACCATTTTTTGCCCAGTGATGCCCTTGTAAATACAGCAATAACGAACATTTTCCTTGAAAGCATCATTTCCCCCCCTCAGTCTATAAAACTGCAGGAAAACAATTATTTTTTAAAATTTTTTTGACTTATATTTGTGCTGTCCCAAACTATCCTGCCAAGTGACCTCGATGAGTGGGGCAGTGTCACCACAGCAGGTGACCATGTACCTGCCCCACTGAGGAGTGACTCACACAGGACTTGCACTGAGAATACACCTGTGACCAAGAGGACCACGAATTTAAAACCAGAATGGTGAAATCAGTGGGAAGAAAGCGTGGAAGAACCTTTCTGGGAAGCTGAGCCTCTCTGGGGGTGGGAGATCAGGACAACGAAGAAAAGGTAAGTGGGGTTTATTTGCTGAGTTCGTTGGGTGATCCCACTGCTCCAAATGGAAATGCAGAAATTATAAAGCAAATTAAAACTTTGCACACAGGTTTCCTGAACCGTGGAAAGACACAGCTCTGCAGGCAGCAGGATGTTTTTGGTGGAACCAACTGACTCAGTGCACTGATGGTTTCCTGGGCAGGTAAAACATACTTCTACATTATCTCTTTGAAAGAGGAACAGGACACAACCTCTGCCAGCATTTTTTTTTCTTCCTTTTTTTTTTTTTTTTTTTTGTGAACCATTCTATTAATACCAATCAAATTGAGAAAATGATCAAATGAAATTGCATTTTGAGAATCATAAGCTGTGTAATGCCTATTCTGTTAAATTGAGGCCCGTAATTGCTTCTCTACTGAAAAGATACAACAAAGACAGCAATCATGGCATGTCATTATCCCAGACTAGAAAACCAGCCTTTGCAGCGAGGACTTCAAAGGCTTGTGGTTCTCGAATTGCATTTGGCTGCTATTGTTGAAGCACAGGCAATCTTGATTAGGTGTTTACACGGAGGTAAGGCACAGTGCACACAGAGTCTGAGTGCCTTGGTCTAGAGCCATTAAAAAATTGTACATTATGTTCCTGGCTTTGAAGTAAGGGGCTTGTAGGTAGGAAAGCAACTCAGATTGAGCACAGCTGAGCTAGATTGGGCCACTACTCTCTCTTTCCTTCTCTCTCTCAAAGAAACTCATCATCGGGTTCTTTAAGAATCAGGCAACGCTGCAAAGAACTTGATGCTTTATAAAATGCTGTATAAATTAGTAAATATACAGATCAGCAAAGGTTTATGGTGTGTTTTGGTACGTGCAGCCCGTATG